AACCTCCCCCCCCAAACCAAAAAAAAAGAAAAGAAAAATGGGACCAGAAATCTCCATGGAAAGCCCATCGACAATCAAGTGATAGGAATTTTAAAATCGCAAATGGCTATAGAAACAAGCCAGCACGATACTAATATCTATTTCTGCTTCTTCCTATGATGTTAACTAGTCTAAACATCATTTTCGGTTCACTTTTTTGAAGCAAAAATGGATGGGCCTTGGGACATTGGCAGTTAATTTGTGATTGACGGATGATTTGTTCTTTGCTTTAACTACTCTTGAGAATTGTTCAATAATGGACTTTTTTTCCTTTTAGCTAGAGAACCCCAAAATCATGCTAGTCATTACTTTCTCTACATATATCATCTTGTGATTAGTTCGGATTTGAAATATAGCTTCAAGCAGCAGTAGTACTGCAATATATTTCTTCCATTTTGGTGATAGTTAATCTTTCGTTTGGAATCAAATGTAGTTCTTACTTTTAACTCAAATTTCCAGGATGATGGTTTACTCCATACCTCGTGTGGAACCCCTAACTATGTTGCTCCCGAGGTATGATGAAATTGGTCTCCACTACTCTCTCTTCTTGTTCACTTCTTACCCCACACACAAAAAAAAATCCTGTTCATGTGCACCTTTTTTCTTATTTTTCTCTTCATCTAAAAAATCAGATTCCTTTCTTAGGTACTCAATGATCATGGATATGATGGCACAACGGCGGATCTTTGGTCGTGTGGAGTCATACTCTTTGTATTGCTTGCAGGTTACTTGCCTTTTGATGACTCTAATCTTATGAACCTGTATAAGAAAGTGAGCATTTCTTACTAATTCATTGTAAAGTCAAATCTACTTTTGTTTTTGTTATTAGTTCCATAATGTCTATCACGGTCTGTGCAGATCTCCGCTGCTGAATTTTCTTGCCCACCTTGGATGTCTTTTGGCGCTATGAAGTTAATTACTCGCATTTTGGATCCAAATCCTATGACAGTAAGCATACTGAATTTCTAAATACAGCTTCTGGATTTATAGCTTGCAATCGAATATATAACGTCATCTATTTCTCTTATTTATTACATGTGTTTTCTACGCAGCGTATTACCGTCCCAGAAATTTTGGAGGATGAGTGGTTCAAGAAAGATTATAAACCTCCTGTTTTTGATGAGAAAAAAGATGCCAACCTGGATGATGTTGAAGCTGTATTCAAGGATTCTGAAGTGAGCATAGCGGAATATGGAACAAATTTTGCATTGACTTCAGAGGAAAGAATTGATTGATGTATGAAGTTATCCTCACATGGTTCTCTCTTTTTGGCACAAAGCAGGAATATCATGTAACAGAGAAAAAGGAAGAGCAGCCAACTCCTATGAACGCATTCGAGTTGATCTCAATGTCAAGAGGACTCAACCTTGGGAATCTCTTCGATGAACAGGTTACTGCCTATGAACTTCTGTCTTTGTCTGTTATTTCTCTTGCATATTTTGGAACTTCTGCTTGATTAGCGTGGTGCTTGTGCCTGGAGTTACATCGTGTACGATTATTCTGTCTCAGTAGGACACGCTTTAATGAAATTATTGTGAATTTCAGACAATTTTGGTAACTTGGTATAAGGATATGGTTGATGAAAAGTCACTTTTTATTGATGATAATACCTTGGATTATTTTTTGTTTGTAAATGTTCACCAGTTATTCATATGAGCGAGGATGAAAATACGGAAGTTAAAAACATAAAGTTTTTAAACATTGACGATTACGAAGTAGGTCCTCCACTTTGTTGGAAACATTGATGATGTGTATATTACGATATCCTTCCTCCATTGACAGATGTTTTGATTCCATTGTTCGCAGGAATTTAAGAGAGAAACAAGATTCACATCTAAATGTCCGGCCAATGAAATAATCAGTAAGATTGAAGAAGCTGCAAAGCCCCTTGGTTTTGATGTTCACAAAAAGAATTACAAGGTGGTGATGAATTTCAAGCATGCATTTCACTCGGCATCTAGATCCCTAATTAGTTAAATTAATATTATCTAATATTGATTCTGTGCACTAGCCTGATTTTACTCTTTTACCTCAGATGAGGCTGGAAAATGTTAAAGCTGGAAGAAAAGGGAACCTTAATGTTGCCACTGAGGTATGTTCAATTTATTAATTGGTCATTTTTTTAATCTTATTTGTTATTACTTTTTTCTTTTTGTATTAAGATTGCCATCATTATTTCGAAATGTGCATCTTTTGCCGTTGTATCCTGAACATTGTTTGGCCTGCAATTTAGGTATTTCAAGTCGCCCCTTCTCTTCATATGGTTGAAGTGCGAAAAGCAAAAGGAGATACTTTGGAATTCCACAAGGTACCATATTTTGCTAATTGCCAAAAAAAGTTATCTAAATGACAATGCTGAACTGTGTATACCACTATTAGTAGGCTTCGATAGGCGAAAGCATTGTATAATCACAAGCCGATTGCTCTAGCAGGAACATGAACCTCCTTTGAAAGAAGTAATGATGTTTAGCTAATAAAAGATCATGCTTGTGTAGTAGCAATCTATCTACTTATTTCCGAAACGCATAGGTTCTTGCTGTGTTTTGCATAACCTGAAATTCGTTAATACCTCGTTTTTTAAATCCTATTAGTCTTTGCATTATCCTCGTGTTCCTGACCTCTTTTAGCTACTAATCAATCTCGAACGATATCTATTTTTCCATCAATTATTCATTGTTTGATGATTTTGTTGTACACTTCATGCAGTTTTACAAGAATCTTTCAACTAGTCTAGAGGATGTAGTGTGGAAAACTGAAGAGGACATGCAAAATAGGTAGTATTTACTACCATGTGAAGAGCAATAGCATTAGCTTTTGCTGGTGCTACCACATATGTAAAAACTTTTACAAGTTCTTTCTTTCTTTCTTTCCTCTTTTTGTTCTTTTTTGGTCTGTTCTTTGTAGTGGGACTTTTTTCTCCCTTGAGAAGTGACCATGTGAGGAATTTCCATTTGTTTTATCATGAGTAGGACTTTGTTCCTAATCACTTGCTGTTTGTGTAACTGGTATACTCTTTTGACTACTGTATAAAGCTTATCAGCTCCCTCAACCAAAAAAAAAAAAAGAAGGAATCCACCAAGGAGAATTATCATTTTCATTTTCCTTGTCACATTTGTAGTTTGTATAATTGGTATACACTTTTCACAATTTTTAAAGATTATCAGCTCCTCTTATGCTTTCCTGAGCCGAGGGTTTGGAAACAGTCTTTCTTTCTATGCTCACAAGGTAAGGGTAAGGTCTGCGTACACACTACCCTCCCCAGATCCCACGGTGTGGGATAATACTGGGTATGTTGTTGTTGTTAAAGATTATCAGCTCCCTCAAGAATGATGTGTGCAATTGGAAATGTTGTTCAGTGCTCACTATAAGCATAATGAACCTAGAAGTCTAGAACCACTAGTCACATAACCTTATAGCTTATTAGTGGTATACATTGTTAGGTCAATGTGATTTTTGCTAAATTAATATACACAGACCAAGTAGATCACTTTGTAATATTTAAGAGCATATGTTTAGCTTAGGCTACCTATATCACACCTCTTGGGTTGCGGTCCTATCCTGTGTGAATGCCGAATAATATATATATATATATATATATATATATATATATATATATATATGTTGTATTTATGTATTAATATAAACCATGAAGGACCCACTTTTTGTGTTTTCAAAACTTTATGAACAGCCAAAACAGCTTTCAAAACAATAAGTCATTGAAAACTATAAGGATAAACCATTGTCAAAATTGGACAACACCAATCAAATGAAGGAACTAGAAAATGTCCCAATTCAAATGTCATTTGGCCCACTCTACTTATTTCCTTTTATAACCTTTATATATACCACCTACTCCTGTCAATTCTCTTTGTTGAAAGAGCATGCCTAGTATCATTAGCTACTGCAAAATCATCATCATTATTACACGGTAAACTTTCTCAGTAAAAACTTACTTGCACCCAGTGTGTTTACACTACCCCAATTAATACATGACACGTGTACTCACATACGCTACAATCACCAAATGGCTTAACCATGGTAAATTAGTATAGTTTGGTGTAAATACCGGATGCGGAAAGTTTTACCATGCTTTCCCTTTTTGAGGAAGAAGTCATTCTCTTTGAGACAGAAAAAAATAAAACATAAGTTCAGAAACAAAGAGTACTATAAATATACATTCTAAATATATACATTTTACATATTACACTCGAGCACTATAGTGATATATTTCTTCCTCATCAAACAAGGGAAACAACAAACAAATAAAGAAGAAAAATACCACATATCTTCCTTAAAATATATATGTAGAATGCGTTGGTACAGTTATCTTGAATGTGTGACAACTCTCTTTTGATGATGACTTATCTTGTTATTTGCTGCATTATTTGCCTGTAGTGGTGAAATCCTAGGAATATCTTTTGGTGTTGGCAAAAGCTCTAGTGTAGCTAATAATACCTCATCCATTATTGGTCTAAGTTTTGGATCTACATGGAGGCACCGTAAGGCGAGTGCTGCTGCAGCTTGTGCACCTTTCTTCGAGTACTGCCCTCCGAACCTTGTATCCATGATTCTCAGTACTCGTCTGCTATCGCTTAGGAAAGGTATCGCCCATTCTACCAATGTTTCCTCAGCGCCTCCAGGGTTTTCCTCGCCTGTAGCTCGTTTTCCTGATAGCAGCTCCAATAGAACAACCCCAAAACTATAAACATCGTTCTTTGGAGTCAAATGACCTGTTACAAGTAATTGGGGGGTTGACTTGAGATAAGATATACAAGATACCAACCATGTTCAACATGGTTAAAAGTCTCGAGTCACAGTAATCTCAACGCGAATAGTTTAATGGAGAAGGATTAGTTGACAAACTGATTGAAATTTACCTGTTGCGACATATTCTGGTGCAGCATAACCCCGAGTTCCTATGACCCTGGTTGAAACATGAGTTCTATCTCCATCAGGACCATCCCTTGCGAGGCCAAAATCTGACAGTTTCGCATTAAACTCCTGCAGATGTTCAATGGAATATTTCATTTGTGACCTTAGCAGGTTGTATGATCGAAATCAACAGTTTTCTGGTGCTAATCAATATCTCAGGCGTAGAGATTGTACCGAATCAAGTAGAATGTTTGATGCCTTGAGGTCCCGATAGATGACATTAGCATCCAGACTGTGCAAGAAGGCCAGTCCTCGTGCAACATCTACTGCAACGCGCATCCGTTTACTCCAAGTCATAAGCTGAACTCCTTCTGCACAAAAATGGAAACATCACTAGTCTTCATCAGCAACTTTCTGGAAAAAGCGTACTATGCACTGATTTTAAATGTATCAAATGGAGGCAGTAGATGAGACATGCTACAAGAAAAAATAGGATTATAAGCGATGAGAATAAAAGCAAGCAGGGAAGAAAAGCTTAGAAAAAGACTCTCAAGTCAAGCCTAGATTGAGTTGGCTTTGTTGTCCAAGCGTTCGACGTAATGAACTGCTTTCTTCAGAAGATCATAGAAAAGATCCTTCAATTGCATGAACCATTATCTTACTAAGAGATAATACCACTTCTGGAGTATTAGCGTTATATCAATGCTTGAGAAAAATGTTTGGCACTGCTACACAAATAAAGCATACAAATCAGACACGGATCCAGGATTTGAAGTTTACGGGTTCTGGTCCTTCTGGATTCTTTTACTGGGTTCTAAATTTATAATTTCTACACACTAAATGAATTTTTCATGATAAACATAGGGTGTAAGCCAAAGTTATTGGGTTCTGCTGAAACCGTGCCGTATACAGTGCATACGCCCCCGTAAAAAATCCTACCTAAATGACAGGAAAAAATGAGAAAAGTGATCATAAGAATTCGGCAAATGAAGAGATTGACTCACTTCTGAATAGATGATTTTCCAAGCTTCCTTTGGTCATATACTCGTAAACAAGAAGCCTGTTATCACATTCTACACAATATCCAATCAGCCTCACAAGATTTTCGTGACGAAGCTGCCCTAAGTAGTTAACCTCTGCCTGCAGATTTGATGCGAGTAAGACAGTTATTATCACTGAGAACAAGTGCCACAAGCAAAATATTAAGAAATTTTCTGAAGGCTTAGAAATGAACATACAAGCCATTCTCTGTGCCCCTGAAAGCTTTCTGGCTTAAGTTTCTTGACGGCCACTACCATCCCTGTCCCTGGTTTGCAGGGCGTAAGCGTATTTTCATCTAGCCATCCTTTGAAGACATATCCAAATCCTCCCTCACCAAGAAGACTATCAGCTCGAAAGTTCCTAGTTGCATTCTTGAGGTCATTGAAGGTAAAGGACTTGAGATGGCTGACGGCAGATAGATCACTTTTGCAAGACTTGAGAGCATGTCCTAAACTGCCCTCAAGTGTCTGCTTACAAGGACGATTGTATTCCTTTCTCTCACTTCCAGGGCCTGTTCTAGAATCTGGAATTACAATTACAAAGAAATAAGCAGATAAACAGAACTCGATTTGCAAATATTAAAAGCTAAGTAACATTTTTTTTCGTTTAAAGTTCCAAGTCACTCTTTTATTGCCAATGTTGTGCAAAGCACTGTAAACAAGCCTTACAAAGTGGACAATATCACTAGTGAGTCCCTGGGGGGCATGTAACACCCTAGGTGAATCCCACATCGACAAAACACGGGAGAGTTGCCGGGTATATAGCCTTAGACCCTAATTACGCGTTTTAAAGTCATGCGGGCCTACGCCCAAAGCGAACAATATCACTAGTGGACTGGGTTGTTACATAAGGAGGGGATGACCTAACCTTCTTGTACAAAATGATAACCTGCTAATCAGATAATACAGTATGTTTTAATACATTGTAGTGGTAACCAGTGTTTTAAAAGGCATTTTTGGGACTCGCCCGGGGGGCTCGCCCCTGGGCGGGGCACTTGCAAAACGCCCCGGGCTCATGTATGGGGCTTAGTTCTGTGAGGCTTACGCTCCAATCGCCCGACCGTACGCCCTAAACACGCCTAACGCCCAACGCTCGGGGCTCGCCTAACAGTTCTAACGCAAATCACGTGTCGAATTTCTTACTTAACATCGCTGACCTTCAAAATTCTTTATCAAATTAATGATAAAAGTTCTATCCATCGATAGAAATATGAAGATTGAGCATAACTCTAATAATGAAACATAATATTGCGAATTTATATCTTCACTTGTTATTGGTCGTGTCTTAGTTCATTTGTCCCTCCTTGTTATACACTTTTATTAATTTGATATCTTAAACTAATTTGTATTTATTCATGAAGGAGTAGTATTTTAATTATCGTACTAATAAGATTTTATTAATTATTTACTTTTAGGAAGGTAAAATGTGGAATTTTGATAATTTTTCTAAAGAAATTGTAAGTTTTTAATTATTTGAAAGTTAAAGACGTTATACGTGATTTGTATGCATTAGTTATACTTAAGAATCATGCTAGATATTTATTTTCTATGAATTCCTTTAATTTTTTTTTTAATTTTTAACTTTTAATTTATATTTTATATTTTTTTGTGTTATTATGTTATTTTATTAATTTATAAATTAAAAGTTTTAAAGATCCATGGGGCTTACGCTCCCCCGCCTCCAGGCTTACGCCTCGCCCCATATCAAGTAAAATGCCCCGTCTCACGCCCCCACCTTTTAAAACATTGCTTGTAAATAGCGTATAATAGATTGTTTGACTAGTTTTTTGTGGGGATGGAGTGCGCGCGCACACACATAATATATATATATATTTCACATATTTATATATATATATACATATATATATTTCACATATTTATAGTTTTCTTCAATTTTTATGCAATTTTACATGTTTATTTATTTACTGTCATTATATTATTTTATAAAATATTAAAAATTAAATACCTATGGGGCTTACGCCTCGTGCCTCGGGGCTTACGCCTCGCTGAGGCATATGTAAAACGTCTCGCCTTACGCCCACGCCTTTTAAAACACTGGTGGTAACTGCCAAAGTAATACTCGATACAAAAAGCTAAGTAATATTCAATACAAAAAACGAACAAGTCATGGCACAAGCCATACATGCTTTCACAATGTTATGTATCTTATCGATGCCAGTGCTGCTACTAAAGAGATTTCCCAGAACCTAGAAATTGGCTTTTAGACCCAAAATTTCAGGGGTCAGTATGATGCAGGAGAAGCAATGTCTAAAACACCAACGCGCAAGATCACTTTGAAGAGTTAAGGAATAATTTAAGTAACTTCTTTGCTGTAACATATAATTGCTCTCACTCTCTTATTTGCAAAGGGATGCAATAAGTAAATTCACGAGAATGATTTACTATACTCCATGAGCCTACTTTAACAACACCAAACTAGACCAAGAGCAAAATACACACACACAACTGTTTGAACAAAATTGCAGGATAGCACATACAGTGTCCCCATCCAACCTGAAACTCTGCAACCTTCTGGACTACAATATAACGAACAATAACCTTGCATGTCTAATTCGTTTGCTTAGTTTTTGTTTCCAATGCGGAATAGAACTTGAGATGCAAAGGGGGGAAAGAGTAGACAATTACTCCAGAGTCAAAACTACACAAAGCTCTTGGGAGCCAATTCGCATAACTTTGAAATGATAGTGAGGATTATATAAATAATTGGATAGCAATAGCACAAAGTACTAAGAAGCAAATAACAAAACAGCACACTGCATAATTTGCTTCTTAGCCAACTAAATTCAGACTTCTAAAAGATGATAGAAGGGTAACACCAAAATCACCAAACAACAATTTGGGCACTTGAGAAGTTCCTTTTACTCTAGCGAAACTTAAAGACTTCTCAAAATGGAAACTTTTCTACACAGAAGTGACTTGAAAAGCAATCCACATCTTTTTTCTTATGATGTGGTATCGGGGCCAACTTTCACGCTCCTCGACTATTTCACCAGATACCTACTACCTCAACCAACACAGCCACACAGGTAATATTAACTTTGCCCGCGAAGCCTTAGGCATATGTAAAGCAATCCATATCTTTCTAGCTCAATGCTTCGTAAAAGCTATTCATTAGAGCATACTGCATACCTATTCTCAATAGCTAACATACATATTCTACGAAATCGCAAAATCTAACTCTAGACTTAACCCTGAACTATACATAAAAATAAGGTCTTGAACAAATTACAAAAGCAATCCATATCTCTCTAGTTCGATGCTTTCTGAAAGCTAGTCATTACAGCATACCTATTCTCAACACACCCCACACACACACACATATAAAAAAGGGCAACCCGGTGCACTAAGCTCCCGCTATGCACAGGGTCCAGGCAAGGGCCGCACCACAAGGGTCTATTGTACGTAGCCTTACCCTGCATTTCTGCAATAGGCTGTTTACACGGCTCGAACCAGTGACCTCCGGGTCACATGGCAGTAGCTATGTCAAGGCCTCTTCACGCACGCACACACACACTATATATAAATATATATGTGTGTGTGTGTGTTCTACAGAATTGTAAAATTGCTCAAGTGTAAAATTGCTCAAGAATTATCCCTGAATTAGAAATAAAAATAGGGTCTTGAACAAACTACAAAAGCAATTCAAATATGTTTAAACTGAAACAAGAGGGAAACATGCAAAAAGACAAAGTGAAAAGAGAATGTTGGAATTCATACCAGACAGCAAGCTAGAAGATGCATGAGCAAGCTTTACAGGTTTACCATAGCAAATCCCCATATTAAAACAAATATCAAGATTCTCACTTTATAACTAACTTTTCCTTTAGAAAATTTGAAAACCAAGAAAACCCCAAAAAGGATAAAGGAGAAGGAGGAGGAATAAGAAGAGAAAAGGGGTTGAATTAGTACAAGAATAGAAAAATGAAACCATTGTTAATTGTTATTGTTAAAGAGGAAGAAGCTATGAGAGAGAGAAAGAGAGAGGCCCTTTTAGTCTTCAGTCAAGAGTGAGGAAAATCTCCATTGAAAATGTTGTCACAGCTACGGTTAAACATATGGTCATATGTGGGGTCCATTTTTGAGGATGTGGGGCTTAGTTATGTCTATGTCGTAGGGGTGAAGTATTGAACTGTGCCATCACAAATTTTGACTATCCATAGCCATTGAACGTTGTGATTTTCAACTCGTTGGCCGTTGCCTACAGTAAACACCACCCAAAAAAACAGATAAGACATTTTACGTTCATAATCCTAAAGTATAAACTACCTAATCTAATGTAAGTATTAGTGTAAACGATACCCACTTTTCTTTTCTTTTTCCGTCTCATTTAAGTGAATCAATAGTATTTTCACTTGTTCTTGACTACTAAATAAAGAGCTGGATGAAGAGATAATAGAGCATCTTCGACAATTGGCATACACAAAAAATTTCGTAAGCAATGTTAATATTTGAAAAAGTAATCAAATAAATAAATTATTATAACAGTAAACAGTGTTATTTATACATATATATTACGAAAAAATTCGACAAAACCATATCACGTGACATTGTTTGGAACAAGGTGTCTATGCCATGCTCTTCGGCCAACTTCGGAGCGAGCTAGCCAAAAATAAGCTAAGACTTACGGTTGAAAGAGTCAAAATAGGGACAAGCGTCTAAATGATCTTATAGACTTCTTTTTAATAATACCAATTTCGTAAAAGAATTGATAGTATCAACTTCTCCTAAAAAAAATTAAAAGTGGACGTAATTTAGCTTGAATAAAGTGAAAGGGGTAATAGACTTACCGTTCTCAAATGAAATCATGCTACATTCAATTCAAGGAATACTACGAAATAAATTATCTTAACTACGTCTTAATCTTGAAATTTCAAATAAAACGAATAAAATAGAAAAATAATGATAGTTCTATCATATAAGCAACTTGTAAATTAGCTTAAAAAGAAATACTAATCATTTGACTAGTCGTAGGTAGCTGATTTTTTATTCTAAGTCAACCCTAGCTTTCTTGTTGGTTATATTTTGACCACTTAACTTGTCAACGACTTCAATTCTATGTGCTTCAATAATATCAAAATTAGCCTTAGCAAAAGTGGGACTAATTTGGCATAACATTGAGAATTGGAAGGAAAAAATTGTAGCAACCTTTAAAGCATATTTCAATAACATTATGCAATAAAGATTGCTATAATAGAATAGTTTCAATGTTCTTTTTTACTTTATCTATAGCCAGTTGAGTTTATTTCTTTCAAAATTCAGAAGCATTTAATTATGCCTTCGAAACATACTTTTCATAAAATTTCACCCGCATTTGGATATATTCATGCAATATGTTTGTATATAGACTCCTCTCACGACGAAAAAATATATAAACTCCTATCACTTAACCGTGGTTGATTTATAGATATTCTTACCTCATTAAATTGCTTAACTACTACAAATTTAAGTAAGTTTAATTTTTACACATATTTTCTTGTTTCCCTCCACATTCTTAGAAAAGGACAACTGTAAACTCTATAAATAGAAATATTTAAAGGATTTCTTTCCCAAATGGTGGCCTTACTAAAAGGAGAAATTAAAGAGGAGAACAAGTTGAATCACAACCCTACTATATTTGAAGGACGACTTCGTCCATATTTGACTTTTATTCAATAAAAAGAAAATAAGGCATAAAAATACATTAAATATTTTTAAAAAATTAGAGGAGGCTATACACTCAAAGATTTATACTTACACCTAGCTATTCCGTTTCTCACGTGATAAATTCAATGTGTTGGTCAAATGAAAAATAATATAGTTGTCTTTGAATTCCATTAAATTTTATTTTCGAAAATTTATTTTTATGGAGCTTTCAATCATTTTCAGCAATAGGGCAAATTTAGTTTCTTCCGCAGCCCTTAGCGTCGGCTGCTCAAGAAATTTGACTAATTGCTTCTTCAATCTAAAATGAATTCAGAGCGAAAAACAACGTCGCATTTTATAATAAAAAGGTGTTCGTTGTTGTAGGCTTGTAGCAAGTTCAAACTAAATAAGAGGAGAAAAAAAGAATCCTCTTTTCTTAGCGATGTGACATAAGATAATTAATGAAAAGAGTTGCAACAAATTAAAAAGTTACCATTCTTCTAAAGTGGAGTGCATGCACTTGGAAATGATTTGGTCTTTTTTTAATTTTCATTTAAAGCAAACTTTCTAAATTGACATGCTACGTTCTTTTGTAGCATTGAATAATTAAATATATCAAATTAATTAGAGTTACAAAAGAAGATTTAACGCATGTACTACAAATTTTCTGTCACTTTAAATAAAAGAATAATGGAGTAGCTTTTTAGCTTCAAGAGAAAGATTTTAACTTTTTGGTCAAAGACAAACTTTATTTTTTCAACCCTAAAAGTTTGCAAAATGTTGAAAAAACTTGCTCCATATGAACTTTTCTACTACTTTGACTTGTCTCAGTTTATGGGTTTAATCGTTATTTCATTGGTTAAACTTTTAACTTGTTACCAACAAACTTTTATTGTGGAATGATAAATATTTCTTCTTCCTTAATAAGAGGTATCTAGTTCAAGCCTAAGGTATAACGTTGTCTTTGTTAGGGAGCGCTTTACTCTCCCAATGTGGGACTTCTCGGCGCAAATCCGAATTTAGTCGGACATCAATGCAAGTAGCGGACACCGGATGAAAACCTAAAAAAAAAAAAAAAATTGCTCTTCTTCTTTTTTTAGGATTATATACTCACTACAACTTACAATAACTCTTATACTTAATCAGGGGTTAGATTAGAGCCTTGAAATGAAATGATTTTTACGTTGCACGAATTCGAATTAATGATAACTCATTTTAAGAAGCATATACTTGCAAAAGGCAGATTGCAATCAACGATATTCCAGTAGGTTTAGGACATTGTTTAGAAACTTTTGGAAAAGAATGACTTACTAGTCTGGCAAAGAAAAGAATGACTTACTAGTCTGGCAAAGAAAAGAATGACTTACTAGTCTGGCAAAGAAAAGAATGACTTACTAGTCTGGCAAAGAAAAGAATGACTTACTAGTCTGGCAAAGGATATATTGGGACTTATCGAAACAAAAAAGTACTAATTGGTAATTTTTGCATTTTTTAAATTTTATTCGAGAAGCTATATTCTTGTCATATATTATGACTCATATTTTTTATCCTACAGAATATCCAATAAATATTTTCTTCTTAATGTTATCATTTCAATCAATGAGCGGATTAATATCCAAATATATCCATTTATTATGACTCATAGTTTATTTGTGAATTAAATTTGACTTTCCCAATAATCAAAGGATAAAATACTGGTCAATCGAAGGGAAACGTCATAGGTGATGATTGAATTTTATTGTTTTTTCTTAGTTTTTGGCTATAGTCAATTACAAATAATTTTTTAAGTGAAAAGAATCTTTAGACTTATTTATTTCTTCTTAAACTATAACAAATTTGTAGACTTGTCTTTTCTCATATTTGATTGCTGAATATGGAAATGGGTTCTTCAAAGAAACTAAATAATTATTAAGTTTTTCAACATTTTTTTAATCATTTATTAATTTCATATAAATTATTTTATTGATCACCAAATTTGGTTCCACAAAATGACAGTTTAGCAGTCAATTGAATGAATCCAACATACAAAACAGATTTTTTCTTAATTTCCTGTCTTATTATATTAGGTAGGTGCACATACTTCCCCTTTTGGACAATTCTAAAACTTTTAACCTTATTATAAATCGGAGAAGAGGATTTGCACTGAGCCATGACAATGATATCAGTGTACGGCAACTATTGTTTGTCCAATTTAGGAATGTTCACTAAAAATCGAAATTCAATTCAACTCGAGAAAGAAAACTAATATTTTTTTTGTTTGATTTATTTTTTGGTTCTTTAATTTTAAAAACGATAAAATTCAGTTTGCTTTTGCTTTTAAGTTGATAAGAAATTATCAGACACTTGTTATGATCAACTTGTATATAACTCGACTATTCTATCAGTTTGGCATTGGCTAACAGATGAGAAAAAGTTTGTATTTATTCGAATTTGAACAATAGTCTCAAAATTTTCACCTACCTAACTAATAGCTAGACGATACCGTTGAGTGCAATACTAGAGCTATATTACAGACCAATATAATGAAGGGCAAAGGTCCAAATATGTTCTTGTACTGTATGAAATTGAGCACATTTGCCCTTCGTTAATACTTTAGTTCAAATATGCCCTTACCATCACATAATTGGTCCATATATGCCCTTAGAGTTACATAATTAGCCCATATATGCCCTTTTCGAAACGAAATTCACCCAAATTAATTAGCTCTTTCGTTAATTGTATCAAAGTGTATTACAAACACTATTTCCTTTTTATTAGTATTTTTTCTTTACCTTTCTCTTTTCTTTCTTCTTTTTTCTTTTCTTCTCTTTTTTTTCCCTTTTTCTTTCTCCCTTATTCGTTTCCTCCATTATTGATTTCTCCATTTTTGTCACCAATTTCACTTGACAAAACTCATGAATTCCAATTACTAAGAAAAATCTCCCATAAAGTAATCAAGTTCCAATTTCACTAGTCCTCTAAATAAACGAAATTAAATTGTTCCAAAAATTATAGTTTAAACTTTAAAATAATAAAAACATCTCAACCCTTAACGATACTCAAAAGACCAAAATATTTAAATTGTTTTCAGAAAGATAATTTAATGATTAAAAGCCTAGAGTTCAAGTTGTAGTGTTATAAATTTGAGTTTTTAGTCTTTTTTCAGCTTGACATTTTTTTTTTATTAACTATGTAAATTAGGGGTGCACATGGAACAGGTTGGTTTCGCTTTTGTCAAAACCAAACCAAACCAATTATATCGGTTTGGATTGTTCGGTTTTGTAGGATTTTTTGGATTTTTTGTTACATAAATATTATTTCAATCTTACTTTGTTAAATTTTTTGGAATTAAATATATGTTTAGTAAAAATTAAAAAATTGACAAACATATGATCTATTAAAATATTCTTATGCGAGAATT